CCCAAAATTAAAAATCTAAATACACTGTTAGATTCGGCATAACAAATAAATAAATGTGATCAAAGATTTTACAAATCTAATGCGCCATACTGTGCAATTAAAGATTACATCTTGAAATTTTTCAAAATAATATTTGAAGAATAATTCTTCTTAATTTCTGAAATCTGAAATGAGAAAAAATTGACCCCCCACAATTTCTTTTTATCCCCCCCCCCTCTTTTTTCCCCCAAAAAATTCTTTCCCTCAAGATATGGTCATAATCTCAATTCAAATTTCCAATGGAGTTGGCAACCATAATTACCCATTCAAATTTACCATAGTGCTAACTTAATCTATTTTATAATAGAATTTAAAATATAGTGTCAAATCTTTTTTTTTGTAAAAAAAAAAGATGCAATATTTGCAGATATTATTACTGGTCTTCCTTTATAAATATGCATTTCTTTAAACATAATATAAAAGCAGTGTAAGGGAAGTAACCAAAACGTTGTATTTGGATTACCTCCCTTACACTGTTTTAAATTATCTTTATTGTTCATTAACCATTACTTTATACATAATTTAAAAGCAGTGTAAGGGGGATAATTTCAATGATGTATTTGATTTATCTCCCTTACACTGCTTTAAATTATGTTTTGTACTAAAGTATCTATCCATTAACCAGGACAACCTTGTTTTTCCCCCTTTTTTGCCCCTAATTCCTAAACGGTTTGAGCCATTACCCCCCAAAGCAAATCCTAACCATCCCTTTGTGGTATGGGAACTTGTAGTATAATTTCAGAGAGATCCATACATCGTTCCACAGTTATTGTCTGGAAACTAGAAAATGCTTATTTTTGGCCCCTTATTCCTTAACTGTTGGTACCATAACCCCCAAAATCAATCCTAACCTTCCTTTTGTGGTATTTAACCTTATGGTCAAATTTCTAAAAGATCCATTCACTTAAACTAAAGTTAGAGTGCGAAAACCAATGTGTCTTCGGACGACGACGCCAACGTCATACCAATATACGACCACAAAATTTTTTTGCGGTCGTATAAAAAGTTAACGCCGACGACGGACGACGGACGCCAAGTGATGAGAAAAACTCACTTGGCCCTTCGGGCCAGGTGAGCTAAAAAGGGGGGGAGGGGAGGGGAGGTGGAGGATGGTGGACCTTGGTTGATAAATTAAGATAAGATGCATGTATACATCATGATACCTGCAAAGTTTGAGGCTATAATTAGTTCATTTTGTTCATTTTACTATTTCAGTGGCATGGAACCCCTAAAACAATGACGCGTACCATTTTGACAAAAACTTTCCAGTTATATCATGTCGCGACTAACATTTTGGTCAAATTTTTTTTATACGCTTACGGTTTACGTGTTACAAAAACATAACGACAAATTAATTTGGTAAAGGCAGATAACTCCTTTAAGATCTCACTGGATCGATTCGATCCAAATTAGGCAAAAATTCCTGAGGATGTAACAAACAATTTAGAAAAAGAATTTTGTCGATATCTTTATTTGTTACGAAGGAGATGCAATCCCAAGGAAAACAGTGTTCAGGGAGATAACTCCTACAAAGAAAATTGTTCGACTTAGAATGGGTGAAAATAAAAAGCGCATAAACTGTATGATACTATATAAGAAATATCTAAGCGACATCTTGCGAAACAAAAATTTTACGCGAGAACAAAATTAGGCGGAAGAAAAAAAAAACAACAAGAGGCTCTAAAGAGCCTGTGTCGCTCACCTTGGTATATGTGCATATTAAACAATGGACACAGATGGATTCATGACAAAATTGTGTTTTGGTGATGGTGATGTGTTTGTAGATCTTACTTTACTGAACATTCTTGCTCCTTACTATTATCTCTATCTATAATGAACTTGGCCCAGTAGGTTCAGTGGATATTATTTTGTAAAAATTTACAAAAATTTACAAAATTTATGAAAATTGTAAAAATTGACTATAAAGGGCAATAACTCCTTAAGGGGTCAATTGACAATTTTGGTCATGTTGACTTATTTGTAGATCTAACTTTGCTGTACATTATTGCTGGTTACAGTTTATCTCTATCTATAATAATATTCAAGATAATAACCAAAAGCTGCAAAATTTTCTTAAAATTACCAATTCAGGGGCAGCAACCCAACAACATGTTGCCCGATTGGTCTGAAAATTTCAGGGCAGATAGATCTTGACCTAATGAACAATTTTATACCATCAGATTTGCTCTAAATGCTTTGGTTTCAGAGATATGAGCCAAAAACTGCTTTTTACCCTATGTATTATTTTTTTGCCATGTCGGCCATCTTGGTTTGCGGGCAGGGTCATCGGACACATTTTTTAAACAAGATACCCTAATGATGATTGTGGACAATTTTGGTTAAATTTGTCTAAGTAGTTTCAGAGGAGAAGATTTTTGTAAAAGATTACAAAAATTTACGAAAAATGGTTAAAAATTGACTATAAAGGGCAATAACTCCTTAAGGGGTCAACTGACCATTTTGGTCAAGTTGACTTATTTGTAGATCATACTTTGCTGAACATTATTGCTGTTTACAGTTTATCTCTATCTATAATAACATTCAAGATAATAACCAAAAACAGCAAAATTTCCTTAAAATTACCAATTCAGGGGCAGCAACCCAACAACGGGTTGTCCAATTCATCTGAAAATTTCAGGGCAGATAGATCTTGACCTGATAAACAATTTACCCCATGTCAGATTAGCTCTAAATGCTTTGGTTTCAGAGATATAAGCCAAAATCTACATTTTACCCCTATGTTCTATTTTTAGCCATGGCGGCCATCTTGGTTGGTTGGCGGGGTCATCGGACATATTTTTTAAACTAGATACCCCAATGATGATTGTGGCCAAGTTTGGTCAAATTTGGCCCAGTAGTTTCAGAGGAGAAGATTTTTGTAAAAGTTTACGGACGACAGACGCAAAGTGATGAGAAAAGCTCACTTGACCTTTCAGGTCAGGTGAGCTAATAATAATAATAATAATAATAATCAGAACAAATACAATAGGTCTTTCCACAGAAAAGTGGAAAGACCTAATAAATCTATAAATGTAGAGCTTGATTAACTATTTAATATCCCAACCCTCCAATTGTGGTATGGAACCTTGTGCTTCAATTTCTTACACATCCATACACTTATACTAAAGTTATTGTCTTTAAACTAATTTATTTTCCATGAACCAGTGATGTATACCACAAAAATAGTTCTCTAAAATTGATTTGGTGTTTTATCTATTTTCAACTATGACCCGAATTAAAATTTCTGTTAATTTTCCTATAACGTCTCTGAATTTAGATTCTGAGCAAATATGTAATAAAAGCATAGCTTCTGACACAGACATGACAGAATGAATGTGGTATAAGTTCTTAAATAATTTCAAAATTAGACATTTACCAATTATGGTCCATTATTCAAATTCTAAATACATGGTTGGATTCAGCATATCAAATAACCACATTGTTTCATTTTTTTGTTAAAATCAAACTAAGTTTTATTTTGGATACTTTGGACCTTTATGGGGTCCAGTTTGAAAAACAAGCCCAAAATCAAAAATTTTAAACACTGTTAGATTGCACACATTAAAGAACACCAATGATTTATTTTTTGAAGAAATCAAACAGTCTAATTTTGGACCCAAATTTGGACCAACTTTGAAAACCAAGCACAAAATCAAAAAATCTAAAACACTGTTATATTGACCATATCAAATAACACAAACAATTTAATTTTTGATGTTATCAAACAATGTTCAATTTTGGACCCCAATTTGAACCATGTTGAATACTGTGCCCAAAATCAAATATCTAAATACAAGCTTCGATTCAGCATATCAAAGAAGCCCAACTATTTTTTTTTTCTTTAAATCAAACAAAGTTTAATTTTGGACCCTTTGGACCTTAATGTGGGCCGACCATGCCCCAAATCAAAAATCTAAATACACCTTTAGATACAGCATATCAAAGAACCCCAAGAATTCAATTTTTTTTTAAATAAAAAAAAAGTTGTATTTAGGACCCATGGACCTTAATGTGGATCAATTTGAAAACAGGCCTCAGATTCAAAAAATCTTATAACACAATTAGATCCAGTATATCAAGGAACACAAATAGTTCAATTTCTAAAGAAATCAAACAAAGTTTAATTTTGGACCCTTTGGACCTTAATATGAATCATTTCAAAAACAGACCCTAAAATCCAAATATTAAATACCTAATTAGATTCAGCATATTAAAGACCCCAAAGAATTCAAGACTATTGAATTAAACACCACTGAAATTGCTAAACAATTAGCAATTTATACAAAGTATTGGTTTGGGCCTCTTTTAACTAAACCAATAAGGTTATAACACCTAAAATCAATACCAAACTATATTATATGGTATAACAACTTGTGGCACAATTAAATAGCAATAAATAGGCTTATACTCAAATTATTGTCCAGAAAACAGAAAATCCTTGTTTTTTTTGCCCCTTTTCAGCCCCTTATTATTAAACGGTTTGGACCATGACCCCTAAAATCACTCTCAACATTCCTTTTGAAGTATGGAACCTTGTAGTAAAGTTTCATAGAAACCCACTCTAATACACAAATTAGTGTCCTGAAACATGAAAAATGCTTGTTTTGACCCCTTTTTGGTCCTTACTTACTAAATAGCTACAACAATAACCCCCAAAATAAATCCCATCCTTCCTATTGTGGAATGCAACCTTGTGCTTAAATTTTATACAGATATATACAGTTATACAAGTTATTGTCTGTGAACCAGACAAATAATTGTTTTTGTTAGGCTCTTTCTGGTCCCTAATTCCTAAACAGCTACTATAATAACCCCCGAAAAAAAACCCAACCTTCCTATTGTGGTATGGAACCTTGTGCTAAAATTGAATAGAGATCCATACACTTATATTCAAGTTATTGCCTGCAACCTAGAACTAGAGGCTCTCAAGAGCCTGTGTCGCTCACCTGACTCTACTTTGGTTTTAGAAATCATGTAAAGATAGATAAAAATCATAACAGATACCCAAATAATGATTGAGGCCAAATTTTGATTAATATTGGTCCCGTTATTTAATAAAATATCCTGGTGGCCATCTTGAACAGTAAATCGGCAACAAAGTAGCAACACTTGGTCAGCACTTCATAAGGAACATTCATGCCATGTTTGGTTTCATTCCATTCAGTGGTACTCTAAAAGAAGACATTTGTATGTATTTCCAATAGGGTCCTATGTTAAACTAAGTCCCCTGCTGGCGGCCATCTTGGATGATGGATCGGCTGCAAAGTAACAACACTTGGTCAACATCTCATAAGGAACATTCATGCCATGTTTGGTTCCATTCCATTTATTGGTTCTCTAAAAGAAGACATTTTTATGTATTTCCCATAGGGTCCTATGTAAAACTAAGTCCCCCGCTGGCGGCCATCTTGGATGATGGATCGGCTACAAAGTAACAACACTTGGTCAGCATCTCATAAGGAAGATTCATGCCATGTTTGGTTTCATTCCATTCAGTGGTTCTCTAAAAGAAGACATTTGTATGTATTTCCCATAGGTCCTTTGTTAAACTAAGTCCCCTGCTGTCGGCCATCTTGGATGATGGACCTACTGCAAAGTAACAACACTTGGTCAGCACCTCAAAAGGAACATTCATGCCATGTTTGGTTTCATTCCATTCAGTGGTTCTCTAAAAGAAGACATTTGTATGTATTTCCCATAGGGTCCTATGTTAAACTAAGTCCCCCGCTGGCGGCCATCTTGGATGATGGACCTACTGCAAAGTAACAACACTTGGTCAGCATCTCATAAGGAACATTCATGCCATGTTTGCTTCCATTCCATTCAGTGGTTCTCTCAAAGAAGACATTTGTATGTATTTCCCAAAGGGTCCTATGTTAAACTAAGTTCCCAGATGGCAGCCATCTTGGATGATGGATCGGCTACAAAGTAACAACACTTGGTCAGCATCTCATAAGGAACATTCATGCCATGTTTGGTTTCATTCCATTCAGTGGTTCTCTAAAAGAAGACATTTTTATGTATTTCCCATAGGGTCCTATGTTAAACTAAGTCCCCCGCTGGCGGCCATCTTGGATGATGGATCGGCTACAAAGTAACAACACTTGGTCAGCACCTCATAAGGAACATTCATGCCATGTTTGGTTTCATTCCATTCAGTGGTTCTCTCAAAGAAGACATTTGTATGTATTTCCCAAAGGGTCCTATGTTAAACTAAGTTCCCAGATGGCAGCCATCTTGGATGATGGATCGGCTACAAAGTAACAACACATGGTCAGCACCTCATAAGGAACATTCATGCCATGTTTGGTTTTATTCCATTCAGTGGTTCTCTAAAAGAAGTCATTTGTATGCATTTCCCATAGGGTCCTATGTTAAACTAAGTCCCCCGCTGGCGGCCATCTTGGATGATGGATCGGCTACAAAGTAACAACACTTGGTCAGCACCTCATAAGGAACATTCATGCCATGTTTGGTTTCATTCCATTCAGTGGTTCTCTAGAAGAAGTGATGAGAAAAGCTCACTTGGCCCTTCGGGCCAGGTGAGCTAAAAATAATTGTCTTCTGCCCCTTTTCGACCCCTAATTATTAAACGGTATGGGCCATGACACTCAAAAATTCGTAAGGGTTCCGCAGAACCCAGTGTCTCGCCTACTTTTGCCGTTAGTCGCAGGCTCAACAAAAATGGGGAAAAAATTTTTAAACATTTTCCTCTAGATACTATCTTTTGATTGTAAGAAGCTTCTGTCCAAGTCTGGTAAGAATCCAGGATGGTTTATGGAACTTATAAATGTTTTTAAAACTTTAACTGCAGACTATATGTAATGTTAACTGGAAGAAAAACTAAGTCCAGTAGTATACGAAAAAACAGGAAATAAATTTTTACAAAATTTCTTTCTAGATACTGTCTTATGATCATAAACAAGCTTCTGTCCAAGTTTGGTAGAAATCCAGAATAGATTAAGAAAGTTATTAAAATTTTAAAAACTTTAACCACAGAGTGAATGTAATGTTAACTGGCAGAAAAACTAAGTCTATTTATAAGTAAAATACGGATAAACAGGATTTTTTTTTTTTGCAAAATTTACTTCTGGATACTGTCTTATGAATGATCATAAACAAGCTTCTGTCCAAGTTTGGTAGAAATCCAGGATAGTTTAAGAAAGTTATTAAAATTTCAAAAACTTTAACCACAGAGTGAATATTTGTGGATGCCCCCACTGACGACGACGACAGAATGTAGGATTGCTATGTCTCGCTTTTGCGACTTTTTTTGCGACAAAAGTCGCAGGCTCGACAAACCTCATTCTAAACTTCTTTGAAGTATGGAACCTTGTGGTAAAATTTCATAGAAATCTATATACTTATACACCAATTATTGTCCTGAAACATGAAAAATGCTTGTTTTTGGCCCCTTTTTGGCCCCTAATTCCTAAACAGCTACGACAATAACCTTTACAAAAATTTACAAAATTTATGAAAATTGTAAAAAATTTACTATAAAGGGCAATAACTCCTTAAGGGGTCAATTGACAATTTTGGTCAGTTTGACTTATTTGTAGATTTTACTTTGCTGTACATTATTGCTGTTAACAGTTTATCTCTACCTATAATAATATTCAAGATAATAACCAAAAGCTGCAAAATTTTCTTAAAATTACCAATTCAGGGGCAGCAACCCAACAACCTGTTGCCTGAAAATTTCAGGGCAGATAGATCTTGACCTAATGAACAATTTTATTCTTGTAAGATTTGCTCTAAATGCTTTGGTTTCAGAGATATGAGCCAAAAACTGCATTTTACCCTATGTTCTATTTTTTAGCCATGTCGGCCATCTTGGTTCGCGGGCAGGGTCATCAGACACATTTTTTAAACTAGATACCCTAATGATGATTGTGGACAAGTTTGGTTAAATTTGTCTCAGTAGATTCAGAGGAGAAGATTTTTGTAAAAGATTACAAAAATTTAGGAAAAATGGTTAAAAATTGACTATAAAGGGCAATAACTTCTTAAGGGGTCAACTGACCATTTTGGTCAAGTTGACTTATTTGTAGATCTTACTTTGCTGAACATTATTGCTGTTTGCAGTTTATCTCTATCTATAATAATATTCAAGATAATAACCAAAAACGGCAAAATTTCCTTAAAACTACCAATTCAGGGGCAGCAACGGGATGTCAGATTCATCTGAAAATTTCAGGGCAGATAGATCTTGACCTGATAAACAATTTTACCCCATGTCAGATTTGCTCTAAATGCTTTGGTTTCAGAGATATAAGCCAAAATCTACATTTTACCCCTATGTTCTATTTATAGCCATGTCGGCCATCTTGGTTGGTTGACCGGGTCATCGGACACATTTTTTAAACTAGATACCCTAATGATGATTGTGGCCAAGTTTGGTTAAATTTGGCCTAGTAGTTTCAGAGGAGAAGATTTTTGTAAAAGTTAACGGACGACGACAACGGACTACGGACGCCAAGTGATGAGAAAAGCTCACTTGGCCCTTTGGGCAAGGTGAGCTAAATAGCTAGGACAATAGCCCCCCAAAACAATCCCAACCGTTTTTTAGTGGTATGGAATGTTGTGCTAAAATTTCATAGAGATCCATGAACTTATAATCAAGTTATTGTCTGCGAACCAAAATGTCTTCAGACGCAGACGTAGACAACACCATAACATAATACTACTGCAAATAAATTTGCGGTCGTACAAAAAAATCGCAATAATAAATGCACGCAATAATTTCGAATTTAAGGTATGTAGTTGGCCACAAAAGATCCTGATATGAACTCTGCCAGACAGACATATACACCAAACACTTTTAAAATACCAAATATTTATTACAGAAATTATTAATGAAAATTACCTTCCATCCCTTGACCAGCAGTCACACCTGAAGATTCCTCTGACATGACAGACTGAAAAATAAGGAATATGCACTGTGAATATACCTTTACTCATATTTCTTGTAGAACTATTAAATTTCTAAAATATAAACCCCCCAAAAATAATATACAATAAAAATGTTACACATTATATAATATATTTATCGATAAAATTTTCATATTTTCCAAAAAATTGTGAGGCCCAGATTTAAAGTGTACAGGTTGTTTTTGAATTTACTTTGTGTTTATTTGCAAGAGCATTTTAAATGCACCTTTGAATCGAAAATTATTCCAACTGTAGAATATTCTAATATTCTGTGACCTTACACTTGTTACCATTTGTCTTGATTATGTCTCCGTCAATTTTTGGATAACCCCCATTTGAAGTATGTAATTTGTGGTAAATTAAGTACAGATATGTTCAACCGTAAAATAAAATTGTCCCTTAAGCTAAGATAGTATTTGGGGTATAACTAAACTATATAGGCTCGAAGGAGCCTGTATATGGCTTACCCAGCATTTTTGCCCCTCAAAATTTAAACAATGCAACAAGAATATTTGTGTTTATTGGAAAATTTCTGCCAAAACCTGTCTTGCTGATCATTTTTGCTCAACCAGGTTTTGTAGTTTAAAGATAAAAAGCAGAAATGAAAATTAGACAAGAGCCTCAAACAAGAGTGTATCGCTTGAGAACCTTGGCATTTTGGCAAAAACTAAATTGGATTGATTGATTGATTGTTGGTGTTTAACACCACTTTCAGTACTATTGTCTATATCGTGGTGGTAAGGATTGATTGATTGTTGATGTTTAACACCAATTCCAGTACTATTGTCTATATCGTGGTGGTAAGGATTGATTGATTGTTGGTGTTTAACACCACTTTCAAATTCAGTACTATTGTCTATATCGTGGTGGTAAGGATTGATTGATTGTTGGTGTTTAACACCACTTTCAGTAATATTGTCTATATCGTGGTGGTAAGGATTGATTGATTGATTGTTGATGTTTAACACCACTTTCAGTTCTATTGTCTATATCGTGGTGGTAAGGATTGATTGTTGGTGTTTAACACCACTTTCAGTACTATTGTCTATATCTAGGTGGTAAGGATTGATTGATTGTTGGTGTTTAACACCACTTTCAGTACTATTGTCTATATCGTGGTGGTAAGGATTGATTGATTGTTGATGTTTAACACTACTTTCAGAACTATTGTCCATATCGTGGTGGTGAGGATTGATTGATTGTTGGTGCTTAACACCACTTTCAGTACTATTGTCTATATCGTGGTGGTAAGGATTGATTGATTGTTGGTGTTTAACACCACTTTCAGTACTATTGTCTATTTCGTGGTGGTAAGGATTGGTTGATTGTTGATGTTAAACACCACTTTCAGTTCTATTGTCTATATCTTGGTGGTAAGGATTGATTGTTGGTGTTTAACACCACTTTCAGTACTATTGTCTATATCGAGGTGGTAAGGATTGATTGATTGTTGGTGCTTAACACCACTTTCAGTACTATTGTCTATATCGAGGTGGTAAGGATTGATTGATTGTTGATGTTTAACACCACTTTCAGTTCTATTGTCTATATCTTATTGGTAAGGGTTGATTGATTGTTGGTGTTTAACACCACTTTCAGTACTATTGTCTACATCGTGGTGGTAAGAATTGATTGTTGATGTTTAACACCACTTTCAGTACTATTGTCTATATCGTGGTGGTAAGGATTGATTGATTAGTGGTGTTAAACACCACTTTCAGTACTATTGTCTATATCGTGGTGGTAAGGATTGATTGTTGATGTTTAACACCACTTTCAGTACTATTGTCTATATCGTGGTGGTAAGGATTGATTGATTGTTGGTGTTTAACACCACTTTCAGTACTATTGTCTATATCTTGCCGGTAAGGATTGATTGATTGATTGTTGGTGTTTAACACCACTTTCAGTACTATTGTCTATATCGTGGTGGTAAGGATTGATTGATTGTTGGTGCTTAACACCACTTTCAGTACTATTGTCTATATCGAGGTGGTAAGGATTGATTGATTGTTGGTGTTTAACACCACTTTCAGTACTATTGTCTATATCGTGGTGGTAAGGATTGATTGATTGTTGGTGTTTAACACCACTTTCAGTACTATTGTCTATTTCGTGGTGGTAAGGATTGGTTGATTGTTGATGTTAAACACCACTTTCAGTTCTATTGTCTATATCTTATTGGTAAGGGTTGATTGATTGTTGATGTTTAACACCACTTTCAGTACTATTGTCTATATCGTGGTGGTAAGGATTGATTGATTGTTGGTGTTAAACACCACTTTCAGTACTATTGTCTATATCGTGGTGGTAAGGATTGATTGTTGATGTTTAACACCACTTTCAGTACTATTGTCTATATCTTGGTGGTAAGGATTGATTGATTGTTGGTGTTTAACACCACTTTCAGTACTATTGTCTATATCGTGGTGGTAAGGATGGATTGATTGATTGTTGATGTTTAACACCACTTTCAGTACTATTGTCTATATCGAGGTGGTAAGGATTGATTGATTGTTGGTGTTTAACACCACTTTCAGTACTATTGTCTATATCGTGGTGGTAAGGATTGATTGATTGTTGATGTTTAACACCACTTTCAGTACTATTGTCTATATCGAGGTGGTAAGGATTGATTGATTGTTGGTGTTTAACACCACTTTCAGTACTATTGTCTATATCGTGGTGGTAAGGATTGATTGATTGTTGGTGCTTAACACCACTTTCAGTACTATTGTCTATATCGAGGTGGTAAGGATTGATTGATTGTTGGTGTTTAACACCACTTTCAGTACTATTGTCTATATCGTGGTGGTATGGATTGATTGATTGTTGGTGTTTAACACCACTTTCAGTACTATTGTCTACATCGTGGTGGTAAGGGTTGATTGTTGATGTTAAACACCACTTTCAGTACTATTGTCTATATCGTGGTGGTAAGGATTGATGGATTGATTGTTGGAGTTAAACACCACTTTCAGTACTATTGTCTATATCGTGGTGGTAAGGATTGATTGATTGATTGTTGGTGTTTAACACCACTTTCAGTACTATTGTCTATATCGTGGTGGTAAGGATTGATTGATTGATTGTTGGTGTTTAACACCACTTTCAGTACTATTGTCTATATCTTGGTGGTAAGGATTGATGGATTGATTGTTGGAGTTAAACACCACTTTCAGTACTATTGTCTATATCGTGGTGGTAAGGATTGATTGATTGTTGGTGTTTAACACCACTTTCAGTACTATTGTCTATATCGTGGTGGTAAGAATTGATTGATTGTTGGTGTTTAACACCACTTTCAGCACTATTGTCTATATCTTGGTGGTAAGGATAGATTGATTGTTGGTGTTTAACACCACTTTCAGTACTATTGTCTATATCGTGGTGGTAAGGATTGATTGTTGGTGTTTAACACCACTTTCAGTACTATTGTCTATATCGAGGTGGTAAGGATTGATTGATTGATTGTTGGTGTTTAACACCACTTTAAGTACTATTGTCTATATCGTGGTGGTAAGGATTGATTGATTGATTGTTGGTGTTTAACACCACTTTCAGTACTATTGTCTATATCGTGGTGGTAAGGATTGATTGATTGATTGTTGATGTTTAACACCACTTTCAGTTCTATTGTCTATATCATGGTGGTAAGGATGGATTGATTGTTGATGTTTAACACCACTTTCAGTACTATTGTCTATATCGTGGTGGTACGGATTGATTGATTGTTGATGTTTAACACCACTTTCAGTACTATTGTCTATATCAAGGTGGTAAGGATTGATTGATTGTTGATGTTTAACACCACTTTCAGTACTATTGTCTATATCGTGGTGGTAAGGATTGATTGATTGTTGATGTTTAACACCACTTTCAGTACTATTGTCTATATCGTGGTGGTAAGGATTGATTGATTGTTGATGTTTAACACCACTTTCAGTACTATTGTCTATATCGTGGTGGTAAGGATTGATTGATTGTTGATGTTTAACACTACTTTCAACACTATTGCCTATATCAATGTGGTAAGGATTGATTGATTGTTGATGTTTAACACTACTTTCAACACTATTGCCTATATCAATGTGGTAAGGATTGATTGTTGGTGTTTAACACCACTTTCAGTACTATTGTCTATATCGTGGTGGTAAGGATTGACTGTTGATGTTTAACACCAACTTCAGTACTATTGTCTATATCGTAGTGGTAAGCAGTGTTCTCCCCAGGTATTTTGGATAGCATCACATTTGGCGTAAAAAAAATAAACTATTTTTTTCAATGTCATTTGTCGCGTCTTGGTGATGCTCTATTTCCTTTATGGTACAATGTTTATATTGTTCAATTCATAACTGAGAATACAATTAAAATATAACCATGATAACAGTTGTTTCAGTTTATGTTTTCTATATTCATTTATAGTTACTGTACAGAATTATTGTTTTCCTCTTGGGCCATATAACAATATATGTGTGGTTCTAGCAGAGACATATAATACAATATATGTCTCTGGTTCTAGTTACCCTACCTACCCAACTAAATGAATGAGTGAATGGTTTATTATAGTGCAACCTTTATATATATACAATACTAAATATCAAGTAAAAGAAAAGAAAGTATCATATAGCAATAAAATTTCAATTAAAAAAAAATTTTCATGTCTAAAAATTCATTGTTTCGTGGTAGTCAATGAATTAGTCCCAGTTGTTTCTTTATATCAAGGTGATAGATATTTTTAACAAAGTTATCTAACAAATAGTCTGTTAATGCATAGTTTTCTCTTTTTGGTATATTTTTTTCTGTCTGCTGTGCCATTTGTGCATCTGTAGTTATTATTGTGAAAATGCGGATTTTTGTCATATCTGGTCCGGTTCCAATCGGTAGTTTGCACAAAAGTAGTCAATGGCGGCCGGAGAAAAATTAACGAAAATAAACAATGTTTGACAAGAGATTGGGAACGAATGTGACGCTTTTGATGTATTAA